AGAATATAAACTTATTAGGTTATGCAAATCTAAATTAGTTGAACTGAGACTCCGAGCAGCAGTAACTGATTTTTTCCTCTTAGATGAACAGTCAGGAACTTCGAACATATTAACAATTTTCTAAATTAATTTTTTCCGATAACGGATAACATTGCTTCAGGGAGGTCTAACCACAATCTAGCCTTTGATCTAAATAAAAAGTCCCCCAGGCCTTAATTCTAAGTTTGTTCCACTGTGTGGCGCCCCAAACCCAGCACTTGTCTACTGCAGCGTTAAACTGGCAGTCTTTCCGGCGAACACGACTTGTTGTTGTTGCCGTTTTTTTTTTTTTTTTGCAAAATGCTTGCTGTTGCAATTTCAAACATGTTGAATAGATTCACAATCATTATGAATGTTTGCTTTTTGTTTTGTTTAATTTGCAATTGAAATGCATAAAAAAACACAACCGAACAAGTTTTGATTGTATAAAAATTTCACCAATAAATCGCACACACACACACACAACAATTAAAATTAAAACAAGTTTAAATGCAAACCCCAAAAGAAGGCTTTCAATTCAATTAGTTTTTGCATTAAATCACAATGGGATCACATATTGAGAGAAGAGTTCGATTGGTTGGGCATGACAACACCCAGAGAGGTGAGAGAAAGGCACAACGGTAAACAAAATTATGGATGGGCAGCAGAGAGAGAGAGGGAGAAAGACTCCCTCAACATTCAAACAGGCATGCTAGGTGAGAATAACTGATTATTTTGGAAAGGGCGAAAGGCAGATAGAGAGGGAGAGAGGGAGTGAGGGAGTGTAACAATGAACTGAAGGTGAGCGGAAGAGCCATAGCTGTTGTCATTAAATATTGGGTACTTACTGGTATTTACTTGATTAATATTGGTTAGTCAGGTGTTGGGCTGTGCGTTGTTGTTCGCTTCGTTTCATATTATGAAACATCAACAACAATAACAACAACAACAGAAAAAGGTAAACAACAAATTGGAATTTTATTATTGGAAAATTTGCAACAAAAAAAAAAAACACATCGAGCCAACCGAAATTGGCCACTAAAAACAGTGTTCAGTTAACTAAAACTAAACAAACACGCAAAACACAAGGTCAGACACACACCACACCGCATACTTCTCTCTCTCTCTCTCTCTCTCTCTCTCCACATGCAACACTCGTTCCCCCTCTTTGCCATTCTCTATCTCCGTGAATAACGAATTTACGAATGAATTTCTATATACTGGAGCTTCGCGATGATGGTGCTGATGATGATGTATTCATCGGATTCGTATTTATCAGAATAAATACGAGCAAACAAATTAGCAAAAAAAAAAAACCGCCAGCGCACACACTTTTCGATTAAAAATTATTATTAATATGTGTAGGGTTGCCAGGCGGCAAGAAATTACATGAAAATAAAATAAAAGAATGGATATAAATCTCGCTTTGAGGTAAATGTGCACTCAATAGAACCGATCTAAATAAATAGCTATGGATTATAATAATATTTAGATAGTCAATAATACGGGAGCAACAGAAACAGATCCTTGAAAGATGGAGAATGTCAAACGAATGTCAGTTTGGATTCAAAAAAATATGTCTATTAAAAAATAAATAAACCCATAGATATCATTAGTGAAGAGAATAAAGTTGTGTCGTTCCGCAAAGAACTATTCCAATCTAGGTACGATCGGTACTAGTTCCGGCTCATTCGTTCATTTAGTTACGTCTGTTCTTTCCGTTCATTGGCCGAAAGAACTGGTATGTGCCAATGAACGATTGAACTAAAAGGAACTATGGAACGAAATGAATAACCTAGTTTCTTTCTCGAATTGGACCGAAAAAGATCGAACTGCTTCAGGAATCAAATTACCCAACACTGATTTAACGCATCCATGAAGACTTCTGTAAATCCTCTATGGTTAGTAGATGTCATTCAGGATCTACAGAAGATCTTCAGACGCTATTTCCATATATTGTAGTAGGCTTGCAGAGGTATTCTACGGACAAGGCACTGCTTTCAGAGGCCTTCTATGGTCAATAGAGCCTTTCTATGCCCAAAGGAAATCCTTCTGATGCCTGTGTTTTGAATTAAAGGCCTACGGGCAAGGCACTGCTTTCATAGGCCTTCTATGGCCAATAGAGTCTTTGTATGCCCAAAGGAGATCCGTTTGAGGCCAATGTTCTAAATAAATGGCATACGGGCAAGGACAGATTAAAATATGTCCTTTGTAAGTCAAGTTCACAAAGATACTTTCGGAGATCATCTAAGGCTTTTATATCTCTTTTAACTAATATAAATACTAACTTCAGAGGTCCTCTATTGAGTTCTGTTTTTATGACATATCTTTTAGAGGGTTTCTAAGGTAATTAGAACATCCTCAAAGATTTTTGTAACCTTCAACCAGAACCTTAAGAGTTTTTTTTTAGTTCAATAGAAGAACTTAAGAAGTATGCTGAGGTCAATAAAGTCCTTCAGATTTTTTCGATAGTTCATAAAATATCTTCAGAGGTCTTTTAAAGCCACGAGGAATTTTTCAGGAATCAGCTAAGGTTAGTAGAAGACCTTGAGAGGATTTCAATGACTATTAGATGGTAATTACAGCATAAAATCCTTTAGAGTATTCATAAGTGAGGCTTCCTCACCCTATTAGCATCTTGGAAGATGCTAATAGGACATCTTCAAAGATCTCCTGTGGCTAATACAATACCTTCAGACGTCTATTAATATTAGAGAGGCTTTCAGATGCTTTCGAACATTAAGAGAATTTCTTCAGATATCTTCGGAGGCCAAAAAATGTCGTCAGAAGTCTTCGACATTCGACGGAGTTATTTTCGAGATATTACGAGATATTTAGAGGTATTCTGAGGTCAATAAGAAGCCTTTAGACGTCTTCAATGATCAATTAAAGGTCATCAGATGTCTGCTAAGGCCACTAGGAAACTTTCGCTTTCTAACATTAATAGAACATCTTTGGTGGTCAATACAAGACCGTCAGAGGTCTATTAACATCAATAGAATGTCATTAGAGGTATACAGATTTATTCGATAGTCAATCGAAGGTCTTCAACGATACGTCGAGCCTTTCAGGAAGCATCCAAGACTAGTAGAAAACCTTTAGAGGATTTGAATGTCTACTAGAAGCCTTTCATAGCTCCTTTATGTTACCCAAACAGTTTTCATGTTAAAAAAATACTACATTTAGAGGATATCAGAAGTCTTTTCAAGTCTAAAATTTAGAACCACAAACATTTTTCGAATTTCTAAATCTTATAGAGGCTTTGTGTATATTCAAATATTAAAATGATAAAATATTTATAATCTTTCGAGTCGAGCTTAATTATCGAAGTTTTGGAATGGAAAGCCACAAAATTTTCGAATTTCCAAAATAACAAGTATAAAAAATTTTATAAGGATAAAATATCTTTAGAGGCTTTCCAAGGTTAACTGAACACCTTAAAAGATCGTCGGTGGCTAATACAAGAACTTCACAAATTTTCGATGTTAAATAGAAGACCTTTAGAGGTGTTCGTCAAACCTTTGGAGGTCTTTGCTAATCAAAACTTATCAGAAGTCTGCTAACCACTAGGTAGTTTTCGGATATCATCTAAGGCTTTCATTGGTTTTTTTAAGTAATATAATAGAAGTCTGAATCAAATGCTACCTTGAGAGGACTTCTATTTACCATCAAATGTATTTATTTTCATAAAAGAACTCAGTTAGTTTTCTAAGTTTAATAGAATACCATCAACGATATTCGATGGCCAATATAAGGTCTTCAGAGGACTTTTAAGTTCAATAGAACCACCTTCTGAGGTTTTAGATAGTCAATCAAAGGTCTGCAGATACCTTCGAAGGCCATTGGTCTACTTTTGGAGACCATCTACGGCTTGTAGAGAACATTCAGATGATTTTAATTAGCTCTTCTAGTTAAAAAAAATCAGATCCCTCAGAAGCATATGACGTCTCTTCAATAGTAAGAAAAAAATCTAATGTGGACCGCTGAAGGCCATCGTGCTTTTAGAACCACACACAAATTTTGAATTTCTAAAACTTAAAAAATGATAAATATTTTTAGTGATACCTTGTTTGATATGATTCAGCACTAAAAAAATCACTGTCCCAAATTCATTGACCCTCTATAGTCGTTAAGGAAAACTTTATTATTTTTGTAACAGTTACTGGAAATTATTATGGACCGCAGAAGGTCATCTTTTCCACACATTTTTTTTTTCCTTATCACTCAACATGGCTACTACAGTCCCACATGGAATTCAAAACGGATTTTTAGTCATTATATAGATGCTGGTTCACACAAGGCCATCAGAGGTCTTTTAAGTTTAATAGAAACTTTTTAGACCTATTTCGAAGTCAATAATCGATTTCCAGAGGCCTTCCATAGCAAGTCAAAAGTCTTCAGAGGTCTTCTAAGGCCACATAGAGACTTTTGGTCCCACACATGGAATTCAAAACGGTTTTTTAGTAATTATATAGAGGGTCGATTATTTATATTGGGGAACTTAAGTCCATGTATATCGTTCCAATTTGTCCCAAAATTATTATAATGGCTACTAATTACAACCACCGATCCGATTGTAATTTTGTTAGCCTCGATTTGCCACCATTCGACTTCTGTTTTCTATTATTTTTAATTATGAATAGATTTTTATGGAGAAGACGCCGAACCGAATGATCTTTATGTACACATCCGTACATTCGTACATATAAATATACAAACCATAAAATAATTAATTTTTGCACTCAATAAAATAAATATCAGAAAAATTTGTTATTTTTCATTTTCAATACACACAGACTTGAAATAACACACAAACACAGATAATAACATATAAATTATTATTATTTTTATATAATTACGATTACGTTGTTGTTTTCGGTTTGGTTTCTTTTTCGATAAAATATTGATTGTTTAGTTAACAAAAAACTCAAACACACAAATTATTAGAATAACAACAAAAACAAATAGAAAAATAAACATACATTTATTACGTTATTCAAAAATCAGCCACTAAACACCAACAAAAAATTTATTTGTTTTTTTTTTGCAAATTCACAATTTTCCACTCTCAGGCGAAAAAAACAACGTGTTTTTTTGTTTTCTTTTTTTTTCAAAATTATTTTTTTTTTCTTTCAAACACCAACAAATGTTTGTCGATTATTTTTTTTTGTTGTATTTGGTTTTCGCTTTTGACCGTATTTTTGCGTTTTTCCGTTAAGGTTTTTTATTTTTTAATTTTACTTTTGCTATTTTGGTTTAACTACCCGCTCTGATCTGATCAAGCGCCACAACGTACCGATCGCTTACACAGTCACTTAACAACTCCCAATTCAGTGGCTGTCATTCGGGTTTGGCGTTTGGTCATTCACTTGTAGCTGTTGCTTGCTTGGTTAATTGTTGTTGTTGTTCTTGTCGTTGTGTATTTCTCAGATACTCAGATACAATTACTCAGTGAGATATGAGAATTTCTCTCATAACGGTGTGAGTTTTCGTATTCTCTTTAAATAATCTCTTCTCTTCATAATTTCATTATTAAAGAGTGTGGTGTAAATACGCCTTTTTTCTATGGGGAAAATACCATAAAATTAGTATTTTTGAAAAATAATAAAATTTTGGGTCTTGTAAGGAATAATGTGAGAAAATCTCTTTGGGAATTCTATAATTGGACCATGTTTTCTCCAAAAATATCAACACACAGTGGCATTGCCAAATGTACGTCATTTTACTTCAGAGTCTCCATAAGAGAGGCTTTCCAATATTATTTGAATATCTTCAGAGATCTTCGGTGGCCAATAAAAGACCTTCAGAGGTCTATTAAGATCAATAGAAGATCTGTAGATGCATTCTGAGACCAGTAAAAGACCTTCAGAATATGTTCAGAGATCTTCGGTGGCCAATAAAAGAACTTCAGAGGTCTATCTGTAGATGCTTTCTGAGACCAGTAAAAGACCTTCAGAAGTCGTTGACAGTCGAAGGCTGCAGATCTGTAGATGCATTCTGAGACCAGTAAAAGACCTTCAGAATGTGTTCAGAGATCTTCGTTGGCCAATAAAAGAACTTCAGAGGTCTATTAAGATCAATAGAAGATCTGTAGATGCATTCTGAGACCAGTAAAAGACCTTCAGAAGTCTTTGACATTTGAAGGCCGCATATAATACAAGACCTTCACAAGTCTTCGATGTTAAATAGAAGAAAATTAGAGATATTCTAGGGCCAATAAAAAACCTTCGGAGATTTTCGATAGTCAGTCAAAGGTCAACATAAGTCTGCTAAGCCACTAGGAAATTTTTCGATATAATTTAAGGCTTTCATTGCTCTTTTAAGTAATAGAGCATTTTGAGACGTCTGGATCAAATACTACCTTGAGAGGACTTCTATTGACCGACAGAGGCCTTTAATTTAAGAGTGTACATTCAAAGATCTTCGGTGGACAATACAAGGTCTTCAGAGGTCTTTTATGTTCCATAGAAGACCTATAAAGGTATTCTGAAGTCAATGAACCAACTTCAAAGGTCTTAGACAGTCAATCGGAGGTCTTCAAATGCCTTTGAAGGCCACTTTCGAAATTGTCAGTGGCAAATATGAGACCTTTAGATATATTTCAGAGGCCAACAAAAAAACTTTAGATATCTTCGGAAGACAATCAAAGCTAATCAGAGGTCCGCTAAGGCCCCTTAAACACTTTCGGAGATCACAAAAGGGTTTCATAGCTTTATTAAGTAATATACTATGCGCCTATTCTATTGTCCTTCCGAGACTTTTATTTTCATAACATATCTTCAGATAGTTTTCATAGGGATAGAGTATATATAACAAAATTCGTTGGCCAATAGAAGGCCTTCAGAAGGGCTTTATTTTAATAGAGTACCTTCAAAGATCTTCGGTGGACAATACAAGGCCTTCAGTGGTGTTTTAAGTTCAATAAGAGACCTCTAGAGGTATTCTGAGGTCAATGAACCACCTTCAGAGGTCTTAGATAGTCAATCAGAGGTCTTCAAATGCCTTTGAGGGCCACTTTCGAAATTGTCAGTGGCCTTAGATAGTCAAAGGTATTTTATGTCCAATAGAATATGTTTAGACGTCAAGGTCAATAAATATTTTCTTCGATATCCAATCAAAAGTCTTCAGAGGTCTTCTAATGCCACAAGGAGACTTTCGGAAATCAGTTAAGACTAGTAGATGACCTTCAGAGGATTTCAATGACAACTAATATGTCTTCATAACACTTTCAGTTATTCCAAACTATGAAAGCCTTCAGAGGTCTTATATCGATCATAAATTCATAGCTAATTTTGTTAAAGGAAATTGTTCAGAAACCTAGACTTAATGAAATACTACCTTCAGAGGTCTTCATTGACAATTGAAAACTTTAGAGGATTTCTAAGGCTAATATAACCTCTTCAAAAATCTTCTTTGCTTAATACAAGGTCCTCAGTTCAATGAAAGACCTTTAGAGGTATTCGGAGGTCAATGAAAGGACTTCAGAGGTCTTCGATAGCAAATCAAAAGTCTTCAGAGGTCTTCTAAGGCCACCAGGAGACTTTCGGAGAGCTTGTACATGACCTTCAGAAGATTTCAATGACTATTAGAAGGTCTTCATAGTTATTTTACTTCTTCAGAGCTATGAAAGCCTTCAGAGGGCTTATATCAACCACGCCATGACTTCCAAGTCTTCTATTTTTCATAACAGATCTTTAGAGTTTTTTGTCTAAATTTTATAGAACCACTCCATAGATGGCTAAAGGCAAATATAAGTTCTATAACAGATATTATGTCTTTCAAAGGTATTCGGCGGTAAGTATGAAACTCCCAAAGGTCTTATACAGTCAATATAAGAACTTTTAAATTTGTATGCGGTCAATATAGGACCATCAAAGGTATTATACGGTTAGTATAAGACATAACAAATACAATCTGGGCAACATACTACTTTAAAATGTCTTATACGCTCAATATAAGACCACCAAAGGCCTTTGAAGGTCGTTTGATCCTAAAATGTCTTATACGGCCAATATACGACTTTTAATCTTCATTTATGATCAATATAGAGCAATACAATGCCTTATACGGTCAGTATAAGACCACCAAAGGTCGTATACGGTCAATATAATATTTTGAACCTTTATTTAGGATCCATATAGGGCCATAAACTGTCTTATACGGCCAGTATAAGACCACCAAAGGTCAGTCAATATAAGATTTTAAACCTTCATTTATGATCAATATAGGACCATCAAATGTCTTATACGGTCAGTATACGGAAATTGTAGGACCTAAAAAGGCAGTATAAGACCACTAAAGGTCTTATACAGTCAATATAAGACCCTGGACTTTAATATGCGGTCACTATAGGAGCATCAAATCTCTTATATATTCAGTATAAGACTTTTACGGACAATATTTGACTTTAAAAAGCTTAATATAAGACCACCAAAGGCCTTAGTCGGTCAACATAAACCATTCAATGGTCTTATACGGTAGTCGTTTAACCCTCAAAGTTCATATACGGTCAATATAGTACCATCAAAGGTCCTATGCGGTCAGTATAAGACCTTTAAAATTCGTATCCGGCCAATAAAAGACTGCCAAGGGCCTGACCGTTTTTAGTTCTCCGAAAGCTTCTCTTTGTTAAAAAAAAACCTTCGGAAGTCTTTTAAATCCATTGATTTTTTAGGGTGTATGTATTTTTCGATCATTGAGATTTTTCTGAAAGGTTATATTGACCAACGAAGTCTTCTGAGGGCGAAAGAAGTCCTTTGAAGACCTTCTCTGGGCCAGCAAAAGGCTTCCGTGAAGTATTGATCACTGATGGTTTTCTTAGATATATTCCATCGACCCAGTAGACATCGGAAATTAATTTTTAATTAATTTATATTTACCACGAAAGACTTCTGAAGTACTTCTGTTTGGTTTTAAGCATCTCTGAAGTCTTGTGAAGGTCTTCCATTGAATCTGGAAAATCTATCATTAACTTATAAGCTCTTGTAGGCCTTCAGGTGAATTAAGTTCTTTAGGTTCAGAAGATCTTATATTTACCACAAAGGTCCCCTGAAGCACTTATAAAGTCTATAAAAGCTCCTGAAGAACTTCTATTCACCACGAAGCACCTTTGAATGATTTCTATTGGATCTTCTAAAAGTCTCCTATTGACCTATAAAGACCTAAATGCCTTATGTTGCTTCATTGTCTTATAAGCTCTTGTAGGCTTTCAGATGACTTAAATGTCTTACTTTGCGGTCTTATTGTTAGCATGGAAGACCTCTGACGCACTTCTATTGAATGCTAAGAACCTCTGAAGTCTTTAAAGGTCTTACCTTGCTCCTGAAGATTTTCTATTCACCACGGAAGACGTCTGCATGTTTTCTATTGAGCCTATTGAAAATCTTTTATTGAATTATAACCTCTTGAAGCCCCTCAGATGACCATGAAAGACCTCTGATTCTCTTCTATTGGATTTTAAGAACTTCTGAAGTCTTTAAAGGTCCAACGTTGCTTCTGTAAAATTCCTATGTATCACGGAAGACCTCTGAAGTTTATTTGTTGGATCTTTTAAAATTCTAATATGGACATATAAGCTCTTGGCGGGTCGTAGGTCAACGAAGGTATTTTTTTAATGTTTATTTATCAAATGATTTTCTGGTCATCCAAAATAATACCTCCCTTTTCTCCCAAAAATGACAAAACAGAAAAAAATTTGTTCATTATTATTATTATTAAAATGACTAAAATTAGTCCCAATGGCAAAATTTGTCTCCCAACCAACCCACCACCATATCAATTTCTATTTTTGTTTCCTCCTCCTCCTCCCGTATACTACAAATCCCGACTGACTAACTGATAACATCTGATTGCACCGAACATATTAACATAATAACTCATTAGATAATTCCAATAATAACTCTCAAGTGACCCCTATATTTTGTTTTCTTTTTCATTTTTTCATTGTTGTTGTTGTTTTTGTTGTGGAAAAACAAAAAATAACAAAACGTTGCTAAAAA